ACATAGTTTTGACTTAGATTCTGATGGTGTACCAGAGTTGATTACAGGCTGGTCAAAYGGCAAAGTAAGTACATGTATTACACATTAAGTTAATATAATAGTKAACTATGGAAGCMAGTWAACTAGTCAGTGATAGACCAGATAACACAGTCATCCCATCAGWTTATAGCATTCCCACACTCAWATCCCATCAATTCAAAATGCAATTGGCTTATTCAAAAAGGCTTGAGCAGCTGAGCTCAAGGTGGCAGGGTCTGYAATCAGAGTGAAGTCATAGAAAACCATCAAGGAAATACCCTAATTTTAAACTAGTACTCCTTAGATAACTTGCACTCGATCAGTCATTAACACATCAATCATTTGGAAATTGTTTATTTCCTTTTTTATTTAATCTTTGTTTTCAATGGTAGATTGATGCAAGAAGTGACAAAACAGGAGAAGTCGTCTTCAAGGATAACTTTAGCAATGCTATTGCTGGAATTGTAGAGGGAGATTACAGAATGGATGGGAAATTAGAGTTAATATGCTGCTCTGTTGAGGGAGAAGGTTTGTAGTCAAGTTGTACCATGAGTTCCTCTGTAGTATTGAATCCAAAGAATGCCTAATGGTGCACTGAAATCCTTCTAATACCACACAACAATATTGTACTTATAATGAAACAAGTTCAGCAACATTATAAAAGTTTTAAATTGATGCCAAAGTCAGTGTTTTACATGTAGCATAATGAGTTACAAATATATATTGCGTGGTTTTTAAACTACTACTTAAATTATACTTTTAGTTCATTTACATGTCCCAAAAAGGCTTAAAATAAAACACATATTAAGTAGTTTATATGAAAATAAATTTAAATTCATTCATTTTGTTTTTTTAGTGAGAGGTTACCTACCAGCTTCACAAGAATTGAAGGGCAATCTTATGGATACTAACATTGAGCAAGATGCATTAAGAGACTTAGCACAAAGAAAACAAAACCTTTTGCTTGAATTGAAAAATTATGAAGAAAATGCCAGGGTAAATAAATGACAAAATTTCTTCTTAGATATAGATATACCAGAGGACTGGACGGTATATTATAAGGAATTATCTTAGTTATGTAATATATAAAATATGAGCGGGAGACCTTTATGGGCATTTAAAACTGCGAGCTGCAAGCAAGCAGTTTTATAGCCMATAAAGGTAGGACGCRAATATTTTATATTACTTATCAAATTCCAACTAAAGGTAAAGCATATTTCGAAAAAAACTTCAGGATAAAATATCATTTGTAAGAGAAAATCGAAGTTAAAGTCGTATGCAAATCAGAACAAATCTCTTGCTCATATAAAGATGCGGTCACAGCAATGATTTTCCATTGTGTTTACCTTATGAATTATTAATGAATTTGATAATCATATATTCAATAACTAAATGTGTGGGTTTGCAGGTTGGAAAATCAGGCTCTGATGTCGACCAATCACAAATGGGAGTCATTCCTGCCAACACTCAACTCCAGACCTCCTTGTTAGTCAACCCAGGCAGTGAACAAGTGCAACCGCATGTTGAACTCTCAATATCCACAACAAACGACACCATTATAAGAACAGTTATGATATTTGCTGAGGGAGTGTTTGAAGGAGAGTGTCATGTTGTTCACCCATTTCTACAACAAACAAAGCCGTCACTTCATGTTCCTATCTATCCACCAAAAGATGTTCCTGTAGACTTACATATAAAGGCTTTTGTGGGATATAAATCAAGGTAAAATTCTACTGACAGGGGAGGGTAGGGGAGTACATTGGTGCAAGGTCTCATGTATACTCCGATTTCGAGTTCTGGTTTGCTCTGTGTTAGCCTCAAAACCAAGCAACAWATTCTTTTGTTTCATTGATAGCCCAAGAAAATGCATGGAATTTGAAAAGAAAGACAGTGGAATTGATTTGAAATCTCACACTTTTATTCTCACAATTAGGAATGTTTTGCGCACAAATGAGGCTAACACAGAGCATTGGAGAATTCGAAACTGGATTATTCAGTTAACATTTTTGCTCTTCTAGTTCTCAGTATCATGTATTTGAGCTTACAAGACAACTACCAAGGTATGGGATAATAATCAAACTGCGACAAAAATAGGATTCTTCATTCCTCTTTCCATCCTAGATCTGATTGTGTTTCTTTGATTCAGGTTCACACTATACATCCCATGTCCAGAAGGCTATGCCGAGCCTCAGTCATCAGTATCATTTCATATCAGTGAAAGAGTTAACAGAGTGAGTAGTTTATTTGTTAAGGCCTGTTTACACTTGCGATTTTTGAAGCTCACAGTTTTTGAAATTTAGCTGCAGCTCGCGGCCATATTCGGCAATCAAAGGACTGTTTACACGTATGATTTGAGRTGCATTAGAGCAAAGTAGCAATCCTTTTCCACAAAAAAACTTGCAACCCTCTTCACTGCAGTATCAGAGTTCTATACTGTATGTTAAAAGATTGGTTGCCTGATAACTTGTAATACTTATTTATCTATTAGAAATATTCACAGTTGATTTTATCATCAGGTTTTAATGTGGGTCAATCAAAACTTTTTACTAACTGAGGAAATCCAATCAAAAGATAACAACCTTGATGTCATGTTCTTGTCGCTACGCACTGGGAACCCTGTGGTAATGCGYATGAATCAAAGTGGAGATGTAAGTATGACAAAACAGCCAAAACTTTTGATATTCTGGTTGAATGAAAGAACTGAAAACAAGGCTTCAGGGAAATAATAGATCATTTTTTTCATTTCCCCTTGAGCCTCGTCTTTTATATGTAAACATTCAATACATGTAAGTTGGTATTGATGAAATTTAAGGACCTGAATCAAGTGGGATAATAATGCTACAGTACAAGAAAAACTGAATTCCAGACTTGTTGTGTTGCAGGTTCACATAAAAACTGACGATATGGATTTTGCTGGGGATATCATACAGGCCCTTGCTGGTTTCCTGGGGTTAGAGGTACTCAACTATACCATACCATACTGGACTACTGTATTTTTATCTAAACATTACTATATCAAATTTAATTTTGATKCATAATCTTACAGGACCTTCACACAACAGCCGACTTCCCAGCGCACATGGAGGAACTGAGGGCTATTTTAGTTAAAGTGAGCATTTTAAATACATGCACTCATGAAAAAATCAACCATAATCAGAGAAATTTGGCACTAATTCAAATAGGTTTCATAAACCATATTGTTTTTGATTTTAGGTGGATGAACTTCATGCAGTAAGACAAAAACTAACAGCAGAAATGGCAGACCATTCTAATCTCATCCGTAGTTTAGTCGTGAGAGCCGAGGATGCGAGACTGATGGCCGATATGTAAGTTCACTGTTTCATAACATACTAAATTACGGTCCATAGGTTGTTCATAATAGCAAGAAGTGGCTGTAATTAGATAACTATTGAATCAATTTGTCAAGAAATAGAGCAAGTTGCTCTTTTATCCATTTTCCAATATGTATACATCAGTTTTTTCTTAACTTTTCTTCTATTATGCACTAGACCATGTGGGATAAGCTCAGGAATAATGTACGAGCATGCGCAATYGTTATAGACTATTTCGAGCTTTTGAGCGAATGAAGTTTGACATTTGAGAAATTCGTGAACCAGCTCGATTTTAGAAACCTTGGACCCACGCAAAGTGGAGGAGATCAGGAAGACAGACACTTTGTRCTAAAACTCGTCTTTTGTTACCAGGAAAAAYATGCGCAAAGGCTACATGGAGTTGTTTGATTTAAACCGCGATTTAATCAACGGTTACCAGATACGCTGCAACAACCACACTGAATTGCTGGGCTGCCTAAAGRTCGTCAACCAGGCCATACAGAAGGCGGGAAAACTCAGAGGTATTTACTGAAAACATAGAAAAATGATCATTTAGTACCGAATTCGTTATTTAAYGTACWAACTAACAATTTTCTCCCCGGAATAACGGTAACGGTCGTAAATAGAGACTTGGAGGCGCACGAAAACTTTAGATGGGCCCAAAACTGAGCGCATGCGTAATAGGTTTATTTATAGAATACCTCAGAGTTATAAATACATTGTTATTGATATCAATCCATGSTTATTTTTTCAGTGGGTAAAGCCAAGTCTGAGGTGGTGTCCGCGTGCAGACAAGCCATTAAAACAAACAACGTAAACGGATTGTTCAAAATTATCAAGGCTGGAACACTGTAGGATATTTAACTATCTAAAGTATTGTACAGGAATATAATTAGAGGCGACTTTTCTTTTTGATAAATGTTTAGTAAGAACGAACTCAAAACCATTTCAGTGCCGGAAACCATTTAAATGCGCTTTTCTGCATTGAAACGCATCAACGGCGGWGAAGCCATTCAGTTGGCAAAGAAACCATTTCAGTGCTGCCGGGAAACCATTCAARTGACCCCTTCTCTTCAAGCATGCCGCAAAGCACGACATATAAAAACAAAAACATCGAATAATAAATAAAAAAAGCTTACGCGTCACAATGTACAGAACTGTACAGAAAGATCGCTTGTAAATATGAGAATGCAGTATTTAATAATAAGTTAAATTCGCATGAAAATATTGATGTATAATTGTTAAATTATGTCAAAATAACAATAAAAACAAACAAACAAACAAGAGTGATGATATCTTTGTGATTAGTATCGACGATGGAATCGATGTAGAAAACACAGGGTAAAATTATAATGAATACAAAAGTATTTCGGAAAATTCGTTTTCCAAAATATGTTTTTGTAAATACGCCAGATCGACTGAAAAAACTGCGCAAAAAGCGTTGTTAAGAGTGCTTTAAAAAGCCGGCTATCGAAACTACTATACTTCACCTACACTTATTCTTATCGATCGTTTTAGAGGTAGTATGGCACGGCTAAGCTTCCAGGCCTGGGGTGGATAATGACCACAGACTCGTTTCCAAGACAGAGTATGAACGCCTCGAACAGCTGTACTCGTTGAACAGAGAGGATTTTCGCTGGAAATTCCTCAATCTCATCGCTTGGTCGCTGGAATTTGTTTGAGAAAAACACCGATTCGTCCTCATACAAAGAAGAACTACTGAACTAGTAAGCTTGATTTTAAAGGTAAGACCTTTTTTATGTATTTTTTTGATATGTTTTTTTCAGGGATTGTAATTTGACAAGTTATCTTGACGCATAATTTCATTCCAAAATATGATCTTTCATCGCTCTGTGCCGCCTTAAATATTCACTTAGCTTTTCGACGATAGAATGCAAATTCACAACTTAAGCCTTCAGGTTAAAATAGAAAATATTTCAAGCGAAAACCATTTCGTTAGGTTTTCAATGAAAATGAGTCTGTAGTGAAAGGCGGAAGCMRGCGCTTCTGAGTGTTCTCCGGCGTCGTTTAAATTTAACTTCCATTTTTGCGAGTTGAATAATATTTATGTATCACTGTTTTAACTGTTTTAGAACACTTGAAACCGTGGATTTTAGTAAAGAAAATTTCCACTGACTTAACATCTCTCGAACCCACGTAATTCATCTACTAGAAAATAGTTTTTCGCCTATTTTTTATCAACAGAAATCCCCAKGAACTTTAAATCGATAAAACGCTTAGTTTATACACATTTAAAGATAAATTCTGAAATTGAAAACGCCGTCGTTGCCTAAAACCATTTTTATTTTCAACGTTTGAGACAAACACATGTCAAAAATCAAAGATGGACGATGCTTCCGATCGAGATCATCGCTAGCTAAGTTCGACGCTTTAATACCACAATTGTTTTTAGAATTTGAAAGAAAGAACCATCGAAATCCTTCCTTTTATGAAATAAATAGTTGCAGACCTAGTTTTAACATTTTATTTCACTTGCGCGATATAAATGGTTTCTATACCAACATAGCTTGAAAGACAAATTTGCAATTCAATCAGTGTTTTGCCTGACAGAGAACAAAGGATGGAATAAAATCTTAAATTCTGTCATGTTATGCGTACAAATTTATTTAAAATAAGATATTTTAAAGGTTGAAATGAAATGCGATTTAAGAGTACAGAATTGCAAGTGAATACTCTCGACAAGAAACACGAAAACTTATCGACATTGTCAGAATTCAGTGATATTATTCATACTGAACAACTTATGTGTTTTTAATCGTAAAAGTAACATTTCCTTATTTCAAAATAGTATAGGATATTTGTTCATTTTCTTTTTTAATTTTTATCTAATTTTGAAGCTGTATCGTGAAGAACAATRCAAGGCCCCCGCTTTCTTGTCAAAATGGCCGACAATATTMTTCAAACTGACATGAATCCCAAATATGAAATAATTAGTAAAATCTAACATATTGATATACTATTTGTAAATGTCATGCCTTTGTATGTTTACAAATCAAAAAAATAATGTCACAAAACTGCTAAAAATGTATTACAATCCGTAACGATGTTTATTTGGGAAAAAATGAAAAATAAATAACAAGATTCACGGCAGTTTTCCCACTAAAACTGGTAGTAACATTGCTCTTTCACATCTAAAGCCATTTAGATTGGAAATTTGATTAAATAAATCAGAAATATCGACAGATAACTATAACATGAAGTTGAATTCCCTTGAAAAAATAACGGAATAATTGGTTTTAGAAGTATTGTTTAT